TGCCAATGCATTTTGTGGTCGGCGAAAACTTGCCTATAACATTTTATATAATGATGTAATTCAAATTCAGCCAAATCGGCTGAATTCTAAATTCAACAAAAATGAAGTAAGTTGTAAACTTCAAAATCATTAAAGCTTTACATTTTTTTTGTAAATTTTCATACCAAACACAATTTTCTCAAATTCATGCAAAAGCTTTATAGTACACCACTAATTCACTCAACCAAACAGCCTCTTAATGTTTTCATGTTGCTCAATGTTTTTCTTCTTTGATACATATATAAATCTTTACTTTTCATGCTGGTTCAAGTTGTTCTTTCTCACTCCAATGTACTGAGAGCAACTCTTACATAGCTTTGTAGTTGATTAATAGTGCCATTCGTTCTTTTGTCACTTCATTAAATGTCCAAGAAAGTTTATCTATAAGGTATTAGATGCTAAATGAAAGCTTTTATACAAATGCCTAATTAAATTGAGTTGTTCCACTTATTTTGATGGGTTGGTGTTGAGAGTTTAGCTTCGTTACTTTATATAAAATTGTTAGTGGCATTTATGATAATCTTGAATGAAAAATGCATATTATGTAGCCATCCGAGTGTTATCCTTGCTTCATTGTTACAGGCTTTGTTGATCATTTGCACTAATTGCATGTAGGGTTGTAATTGAGTGAGTCGAGCTGAGTATAACATAGATTGGACTTGGCCTGATAATATTTTATGTTGTTCATGTTCGACTCGAGTTTGAGTCGAGTTTTTATTTATATTTTTTAATACTTGAATTTGATTGATACCTGATTTGTTCATGTTAATTGAACAAGCATTTCAAAGTTAAATCTTGTAGTTATCTAAATTAGGAATTTTCTCTATTTTAACGGTAATTATGGATTTAAGAGAGGATATGTGAGTTGTCTCTTTTCTGGTCGCCAAACACTTCAAAGGGATTTAATTGGATTTAACCTTAATCGAATTAAAAATTTTTTAGATCTAATTCCTTTGGATTTGATAAATCCATATTTACAAGATTTATTAATTCTTATTTAAATTAAGTCCTTGGTGTAGCCGGGTTAGGGTTGGGGGAGAGATTTCTTCTCAAATTGTAGGATTTGGTAGAGATCGCCTACCTCTCGAATTGTATGTGCTTTCATGTTATGTATTCATGCGAGTTGTTGGAGTTTTATTGTTTTGATTTGAGATGAACAAGATAACATATTTGTTTTGCTCTAGTTTTCTGTGAAAAAAATCAATTAGTAGTAATTGATTTTGGAGCAAGATTTCTTGAAAGGAAACGACGGGGAAGCAACCAACAGAATTGCGACGCAGTACAAGGCGCGAGATTGCGATAGTTGTGATGCAACCATAATAAGATCTAGCTCGGACGAAGCCGACCAGATCATGGCTTACGTCCTTGCAATACAATCACGATTGGAGCTAGCGAGATGCAATATCACGAGCTAGTGGGGAAGCTAATATCAAGCAATAAAATTGTGATAAGTGCTAGTTGGGAATGGGACGTCAGATCACGTATAGGGCATGATGACTGTCTCGATCAGAGCTAGTTGGGAAGGTGACGATGGGATTGTATAGTGGCGCCAATGATGGGATCACAAACATACAGTCACAATTGCAAAACCTGTCACACTTACAGTCGTGATTCTAACTGTCTGGAAGGCAAGATCACGAACATGTAGTCTCTCTTCAAGACCGAACCTTGTAATACGGTTCCGATTCGACCTAGCCGAGAAGCTAACAACGGGATCGCGACAACGACCTCCCTATGCAGTGGTGATTCTGGAAGCAAAGAAGGGATGTTGGCTTGCGACCTTACCATACGAACACAATTCAGACTATCCGGGAAGCCATCTATTGGATTGCAACTTACACAATTTCTGTTTTTTTGATAAAAATCATTCTGGGAGTAATTATAACCAAATATTAGATGATATGGAGTAGAATTAGAAAAAAAGTTAAATCAAATCAGATATTAAATGAATGAATGTTTCTCGTCCATGGAGATGAGATTCACGGCCCTAGAAGAAATTATGAAGAAGATCATTGAGTTTCACATAAATCAGCTTCGCCTGCTTTGTGATTGAATGACGATTTTGGGAGCGGACATGGGCAGTAGCACTAGAAGGATTCACATGTCATCAAGGTAGCGCTACTGATTTAGTTGGATCAGGAGTTGCAGTATCAAGCGAAGGAATCAGGAGCAGATTCGAACGACAACACTTGAAAGAAATAGTGTGACATTTAGACAGTCAGAACATATAGAAGCAAGCATGATTGAACGATAGGTTTGAGAACAGATTCGAGTGACAACATCTGGAGAGAAGAACGACATTGTGAGGTTTAGGACGAGCGACAACAAACATATTAGGACGGTATGCGATTCAGGAATGGGCAAGATTGCTTCAAAGAATTTCGACCTGAAACAGGGAACCACGATGGGTAGAACCTCAACAGAGGGCTGCAACCAACTATGCCAATGCATTTTGTGGCGGCATTCTTTCAGATGGAAGTTGATTCAAAAGTAATGGGAACGAAACCGGTGGAGAAGGGCAGAGAAGTTTGTAAGTGATTGATTTAGGCTGCATTTGACACAACTTAATTGCTGTGATGCAGTGAGAAACCGCTAAATTCCGTGCTTGGTGCGACAACGTATTGAAAAAATTTAATAAAAACGCAGCCGTGAGCTCGAACTCACGACCCGCATTCATTGACTTTGTTTTTACTAGGTTGCACCTGGTTTCCCGCATCCAGGTCCGCCCTAGTGCTATGTTCTTGCAGAGCTCCACTCCCCTCTCTCCTCGCACTTGCTTCTGCCCTAGCAGTTTCGTGTCTCTCTTCTTTGCCGTCCTTTGCCCTTAGCTCTGTGATTATATTTTGTGGCTTGGTTTTATGACTATGGAGAAAATGGGAGAGAAATTGATGCGAAAATACCATATTGCATTTAAATTTTATTGAGAGACTTGGTAATATATGAGTTTTTGTGGTTTCGTCTTTTTTCTCATTGCGGTTTATGGTTCAATGCAGTTCTTGGTATGTTGTTTTGCGGTTAGGGCTTCACTCTATGGAATAATTGAATATAGGGAGGGGAAAAGACCCGACTATATTTCCTTTTTATGTGAAATTTGGGAGTAGGGTTGTAAAAAAAGCTCGTGTTTGGCTCGTCAAGTAACTCGTCTTCGGCAGTAAACGAGTCGAACACGAACAACTATTTGTTCGCTCATGTTGGGCTCGTTTTAGCTTGAAATAAAAAAAATTATATAATTATTTATATAATAAGATATTACCTTTATTATTTATATCTAAGTTTAAATCATAACACCTAGTGTGGTAATGTTGTTATTTGTTTGTAAATAATAAAAACTCGTGTGATATTATGATTATGCGTCATCTTTTGCATACATTTAATTCAGGTTCGAATACAACACTCTACATCTATTTTTTTTCAAATTAAGTTTCACGAACCAATTTTGAGCCGAACACAAACACATTGTTCACGATCTGATTTCGAACACGAGCAATTTTGAACGAGCTGAACACGAGTCAAGACTGAGCTCCCTCAAGCTCGGCTCATTTACAACCTTATTTGGAAGTTATTTTGCGGTTAGGTTCACGTGGCTCTTTGCTCTTTACAGTGATGGTTGTGTGTGATGGTGGTCGTTGTGATGATGTGGTGCTCGTGACGGTGATGGTAGTAATGTTGGTTGTGTGTTGGTGGCGTTGTGTTGGTGGTGCTGTGTTGGCGGTGGTGGTGGTATTGTGTTGGTGGTTATGTGTTGGTGGTGGTGGTGCGGTGGTAGTGGTGGTGCGGTGGTGGTGGTGGTGATGTGTTGGTGGTGGTGGTGATTGTGGGGTGGTGTGGTGGTGGTAATTATTTTCTGTTCATTGGCAATATTTGTTTTCTTTGAGTTGTGAATTTCTAAATGACACTTTATATTTATTATGACAAGTATCTGTGATGATTAGTTTCTTTCATGCTAGTAATACAATAGTTAAGACCAAAGAAATCAGTTCATCTGTTATATGAGATAAAAATACCAAAATAATATTGTGACCTCTGCCTCAAGGAGGTTGAATTGAGAAATAGACCATTAACCTATTTTTCTATTTTAACAAGGAAAACTTACAAAATATTTTAAAAAAATTGAAGGAAAGTACCTGAAGAGAACACGATAGGATGCAATTGAAAAAAAAATAAGATCAATTATAAAAAAAAGAAAATTTAGAAAGAATTGAAGCGATGATTCACGGGTTTGGGTTGAGATTCGATAAAACGAACAATTGATGCTTCAGTCAGAAGAATGAGAGCCGCGAGATTTGAGATATGAATTTATGAAACGTCCACTTCAAAATAATAGATGCAAGTAGAAAAAAACACGAAAGAAGAATTACAGTTGCAGTGTGTTTGATGTGCGAGTACTATAACTCATAAATAGCTCGCTCTCCTTGAATGACGATTCAAGTGAGCTAAAGTCGCGATCTATCTAGTCATGGTGTACAGTCCTTTGTGATCGAACGTTTGAGTTACGGCCGTGTGATCGAAACTTGAAATAATGACAATCAAGAAAGTAGACACTATGGAGAAGAAATTAAAGAAATATTTGAGCTTAATAAGATCAAAAATGCCGGAGCATTTTTGATCCATGGAGGGGAGATTCTTTGCCTTAGAAGAATGATGAAGAAGATTATGAAAATTTAAACAAAATTGTCGCCGCATGCCATGGGATTGAGCGACGACGTCGAGAACGGTTGCACACAACAACAATCAGAAGGATTCACATGACATTAGGGCAACATCACTACTTTAGGTGGGTCAGGAGTTATGGTATCGGGCGAAGGAATCAGGAGCGAACTCGAGTGGCATCACTTGGAAGAAATAATGTAACATTTGGAAGACTGCAACAAACAAAAGTAGGCGAGATCGATTGGAGTTAGGGTGCAGATTCGAGCGACAACCTCTAGAGGGAATTGCACGACATTGTGAGATTTGGAACGAGTGACATAAGACAGAAAGAGATGACATGTGATTTGGGGCTAGAGTAGATGGTTTCAAAGAATTTTGTTTTTTATATCATGTAGGACCTCGGCGCAGGGTTGCATCTAATCAGGCCAGTGACCTTTGTGATGACAACCTTCCTTCTGGAAGGCGATTCATAAGTAATGATGACAATGAGCAGGTGGAGAAGAGTGGGGACATTTGTAAGGGATTGATTTGGACATTGCAGAGTATTCATGAGGGAGACAAGATGGCGTTTCGTGGTGACCCCAATTTGTGCAATACATTGGTAACGCTGAAGACTATAGTGAGGGCGATTCAAAATGCAGGGCTGAGATTCTTGATCGAGTTGTATATCATGAAAGAGACATATGATAAATAGTTCACAGAGTTTTCAGAGATCGATAAGCTATTGAATGAGTTGTTTGGGGCGACAGTATTCTCTAGGATTGATTTAAAGTCAAGGTACAATTAGATTCAAATGTGAGCGAAGATTGTGCACAAGACAACATTTTGAGATGGTGAGGGTAACTACGAGTTTCTGATTAAATGGAAAAGATGATGACACCACTTGGGAGCCATACAAACCTAATCCAATAACAATTTTTTCCTTCTTGAGGATAATGTCTTTTTGGGAGGGGATTAATGTTATGACGGCTCCCATAAGCAATTTTGTCTTTATTAGCCTAAGGGAAATTTAGTGTAAATTTTAATTATTATTGTTTAATATAAATAAGGCTAATATGTTTAGAGTTAGGGTTATGTATGAGATTGTCGTCTTGAGTGTTAGGGTGAGGATTTTGGAGATATTGCCCGCCTCTTGAATTGTAGGTGCTTATCTTTACGTATTCATGTTCTATTGCTTTGATTTTGGTGTTCGTGGATTAAAATATGTGTTTGTCCCGATTAATGTGAGAAATCTATTTCGGATCGTATCACACTCTCAAGAATTTTTTAACAACTCTGATCCCAAATTTAGATTGAAGGCTCAACAAGAAAGCATTGGTGGAAGATAATAAAAACTACGATCTAAAAAGCGCAATTGAAGCTAAAAATGTAATAAAACACAAAATCTAATGCTCAAAATGTGTACTAATATAGGAAATGATTTTCTTCATGTGGATTGGCTAATATTAGGAGTGTATGCTATTCAATCATTATATTTAATATTCCAACTCAATTGCGGTACATTGCTCATACTAGTTAACCATTGGTCCAATCCCATACAAGACACAAGACTAGTGAAATAATGCTGCAGCTATTTGATTTTGCTATTTGAATGAGCACAATGAATTTAACCTATTCAAATACATTTTAAACAATGTATTCACTAACAACACTATTGCACCAGTGTACAAATACTAAAAAAACTTAATATTGCTAAATGTGAGAGCATTTGCCTTTAGCACAAATAAGATAACTAGTTCTACACAAATTTTGCACCTAGTTAGTGTTCCATTTAACAAATCGAAGTTAAAAACTTGATTGAATACTTGAATTTGAAACCTAATGATACCAGAGTTAACCCAAATAACAATAAAAAAATAAAATATTATTGCTGAATTCAAAATAGAGAAATACAATCTCACAAATGGAAATAAAATATTAACAGACACGACACACCAAACTCAAACTAGGGTGGATCTCAGAGTGGTGGTGATAATCAACGAGGTTTTGGTCCTTCAAAGAGGTAGGAAAGAGCGGGTGAAGGGTTGGAAAGCGTGGCAGTAGCAAAACTGTGTGATGACCGCGAGTTGCGAAGCTGCAAGAACAACAAGTGTAGTTGCTGTCCTTGGCGGTGATGGCATGAAAGAGGGGTTTGGACAACGAAGAAACGGTTGGGAAGGGCTGTTCTGGGTTGCGGCAACAAGGGAGGAGGACGGCGACATCGGAGGTAAGAAGTTGCAGCAATGGCTGCAAGCTGGAATATCGAGCACGGCTTTCTGAGCGGCTGGAACAATAGAAAACAACCGAGAACGGCTACTTCTGAGCAGCTGCAGTGAGGGGGAATGTCGGCGACATCGATTGAGAATGCAGGGGACTGTAGGACAACAAGATGACAGTATTCCTGGGTGGCATGCACATGTGCTTGTAATCGTGGATTGGCATAGGGAAGTGCATACCGTGTGCAAATGCAAAGACAAGCAACAAACATCTAACGAAGTTACGAAAAACATATTCTATGAATAATCGTTTTGAACAGGCGATATGAATGGTAAATGTTAACTCAGGTCTATACGATATTAATGTGATGGTGATATTTTTGAGACATAAATTTGAGTATTTAAAATGAGCATGTATTTATCAAATATTTAAACATAAAATTAGTTTGTAAAATATGTGCCCCCAAATTTTCATAAAATTGAGACTTGTTTTTCTCAAAATCCATGCCATCTAAATTTAAATATATTTGGGGTATACAAATAATTTTTTCTATATTATAAATTTTTTAAATTGAATTTTGATTATTATGAAATAAGAGCCTAATTATAAATATTTACCCTATGATTTATGTGGTCTCAAAGTCTTTTTTAATTAATGCTTAGGTTTGTGTTCATCTTTTTGGATACTTTGGCTTTTGGTAATGATTCAATTCAATCCAAAATATTAAAAAGTAAAAGGCACCATAAACATACATTATGATACATAGTCTTGAGTTGTTGATGTTGAGCTTTCTTGATTGAATATTCGTCCCCTTTTCAAAGTATCAAACGCCCCAAGCTTCCCTAGTGTGCTTTCATCATCATCTCGATCATCTCTATGGTTGCTATGGATTTATTAACGTAGAGGAGACACTTAGCAAACCATTAGATTGCACTACATAAGTTTGTTATCATTAAATTAAATAATGAGATACACATGGGCATGCTTAATATTTTTTTAGGCCTTCTAGTTTATGTTTTCATTGTAATTAAATTTTTTATGCAAATCTCATTAATAATATACTTATTCTTGATTCTATTATGGAGTTAAATCATTGCATGGTCCCTTGGCTATTTGTCGCGGTCAATTTAGTTCCAGAGTATCACATTTCTCAAATTTAGTTCTCTTACTGTAAAAAATAATAAAAACTGGTCTCTCAGGGATTAAATTGAGATTAATTTTATATAGTTGAGGGACTGAATATGGATGAAATTTGTATCACAAATTACATGATGAACTATTTTGGATTAGTTTTGTATACTCTAGAGACTAAATTGGAGAAATGTGATGCTCTGAGACTAAATTAGCCACATATGGATTGTCGTGAGACTATTTTTAATTTTAATGGTTTTATTATGTGATAGGCGGATTAGCTCGCTTTGATAGAAAGTTTAATCTATGTATCACTGTTGTATTGTGGTGGATAAGTTTATGAATTTTTTACGTGTTTTTATTATCTTTAATTCTGATAAATAGACTTTGATAAAAGCTTTAATGTATAGCTATTCAAAAATGAACTCAAAAAGTAGCACTACTTGCTTAATAATCTAGGGCATAGCTTTATATAGAGAAACTGATTGAAGCTTCCTATGTATATTTTCACTTATGATATTTTCATTTATTCAGCCATCTACCACATTTCATAGTATCTCATGTGCTTTTAACTACATCTATGTGAAGCCTAGAGTTATCTATAGGAGTATTGCGTTGGTAAGAGACTTGGGTACAATTTGAGAATAGCAATGCGTAAAGGAGTACTAATAGGGATGCAATTTATGCAAAGGCTAAAAAGCAAGATAAGCAATTGGTGAGGTCTCAATTTGGTTAGAAGCTTGAATTCTTGGCTCTTGGTTTCATTAAACATGTGCCTATCTGAAAAAAAATTATTTCTTTGAGACCCTTGTATTTAAATCATTAAATTCTAGTATCTTAACTATTAGATCTATCTCATCACACTAGATATTTCTTTTGGGAGAATGAACTACATGATCATGAATGTTTCAATAAGTAGTGAATAAGATCTTCAATGCTGCAACTGTGGTGGTCTTTAGCAGAAAGCTTCTTAGTGGTCTAGTACTGGAGCACATCTAAGAATCGCTTGTGTATGGAAGTTATGGTTTTGAGAAGGCAATTTTAATGAAAATTGTATCAAATCTTAATTCAAATGTTTGAATGTAGTTTAATTAGAAAATAAATATTAATCAATTTGTTTATATTATATGCTATATGTAATTGCATGTACATATATATAATTTCTTTTGTAACATTGGTTTGAATTTTTTATTTCTTTCTCATTTAGCCACCTAGGAATGAATTGATTTATTAGTTACATATTTGTACCATCATTAACTCTCTTTCATAGTCGAATTTTAGTTGGCTTAAATTTTGTTCTTTATATTTGATTCTCTTCTTCTATCTATGGTAATTTTTCTGTACTATAGTTCTCCAAAACCCAGAGGCTTTACATAATGTGTTTATGTGATGACAACATTCTCAATTTAATCTATACTTTTTATGATATATATACATGAATTTGATACAAATTATTCATCTTTAGGTTCGTATTGCTCGCATTTTCAACACTTATGGGCCTCGTATGTGTATAGATGATGGCCGTGTTGTTAGCAACTTCGTTGCACAGGTGCTTTTGCTTTCATGAATTATATTGTTGCTCTTTCAAGGTTGCAAACTCTTTTAGTGTTTAGAAAATTATAATGCCCTTTTCTTAACAAGAAAAATGTGTAGGCCTTACGCCGGCAGCCGATGACCGTTTATGGGGATGGAAAACAAACTCGAAGTTTTCAATTTGTTTCGGACTTGGTAATTTTCTTATACTTTTAATACTTTGAAAGTTGAATTCTTACTTTTTTTGTACATCAATTGTTCGACAATTTAACGGACTGCACATTGGTTCTTTGATAGACATCCATCGATTAGCTTGCTTAATTTCTTAGTTAGGCCATGAATTACTTAATCTAGTTGTGACAATCACACAGATTATATGAACAGTTTTATCACAAAAAGATGTGATCTCTAACCATTTTCCCTCCCTTACTAGCTATCCATTCAGGAAAGTTATAATATAAAGATAATATTTCCAAGTCTTGTAGCTAGGAATAGCTTGATGCTTGCTATTGATGTACACATCGTAAATGATTTGCTGCCATTTGGATCTGGTTGTCACTCACAATTAATTTTTGTAACATTTTTATTTATTATTACTATATTGCATTACTATTGTATACTTGAAATGTCATAGTATCTTTGAAAATTGTATATTCAAATGGCGAAGAAGGGTGAACCTTTAACGTGTGTTGTTAGATTATATTCTGAGTTAATTTATTTTGTTGGCCCCACTGTACATTTGGCGCCTATGGTATGGCCTCTACTTTTTATAGGAGGGAGATGGTTTTAAATCTCCATCCTTTATTAGAGAAAAAGTTCAACTAGTCTATTGTATATTTATGACTTGCAAATGTTATACACCCAGATCAGGATCTATATGAAATGCACTTCATCATAGGAAAGATTTTACAGTCCACTTATTTGCTGTTCAATCATAATTTATTAGATTTTGTAACTTTAGAGGTTTTGGGTGAGAATTATATAAATTTGTAACCCATGTGGTTGGAAAATAAACTCCAATCTGCCTTACAATTGTTAGCCATGAAAGCTCACTTTTAAACAAACAATCTGATCTAGAGGAAATATGAGTTGAGTCAAGCTCAACCCACCTTTTACTTGAGCTCTACTCAAATTCAAATTAAGCTCCAACTTTAGGTATTGAGCTTGATTCAAATTAAACAGCGAGGCTTGCACTCAAGCTAATCAGTGATCTAGAGCTCAACAAGTTTGAGTAGTTCGCTGGCAAATTTGGTGGTGCCGGGGTGGAGGAGGTGAGGACATATTGAAGATCCACCTCATAAATCAGTGGCAATGATGATAATGATGGTTTTGGCATGAATCTCATGGTGGACACTTTTGTCTAGTACATCTAATAGATGAAGACAGAGGGAATGAAGAGGAAAAGATGATTTGGTGCAACACTACAATGAGAATTGGGAGAGTGCTTATAAGAGTGAGAGAGAAGTATGATCTTAGTTGGCTTATTGAGGTATAAACACATACTTCGATTTTGCTTTTTTACATATACAAGCTCAGTCATTCTTTTGAACTATATAGGTGGCTTGTTGAGTTAATTTTTAAGTAAGCTTTAATTTGCTTGCAAGATGGCTCTCCTCACCGAAGTCTATACTCTTATCTAATCATTTTCAAGTCATATGAATATTTATTGTTGACTTGATATCTTATTTCATGATGATAACTAGCAGTCTAATGGCTATAACTTGGTTTAACCTTGATTTATTGTCCATATTAATATTTTCATTGGACAAGAAGAATGATGAGTGATGCTTTGTCTATTGATTAAATAATGTGAATTTAATTCTGTTTTTTTAGGGATTTGTATGCCCTATTACATGAGGCCTTCACAAATATAAGATTTAGGAAGGGATTAACATACACAATCTTACCCATGCATTGGGTAGAGGTTGTTGCTGCGATTTAAACTTGTGACTTATAGGTCACAATGAGGCAATTTAGAAGTTGCTCCACTCCTAACCACATCTTATTCCATGATCTGCCAGCTTTTATTGAAGCTTCTAATTCTCTGTAAAGAAGAATCTTGAATGTGGAATACATATTTTGATGATGTTGGTATCGGACTTTCAACACAGTTTTTATTTAATTTCTTAAGAGCTAAGGCAAGGATACTTGTGTTAAGTGGTCAAAGGTCATGAGAGGTAATGCGGCATTTTGTGTTTGATTTTAAAATTTATAGTTGGTTAAGTTGGTTTATTTTTTCTTTAATATGGTTTCATCGAAATAAGTCTCCTATGCTGTGCGCCGATGAAAGAAAAAATTTCAGAAGATGAATAGTATCTTATTATTCATGGAATGGCCTGTGACACTCCCAATACCATTGCCATCATTATCATCCAAGTTTTGACTGGTAAGCTCTTTTCAATAGTGATTTTAATGATTTAGATGTCCTACAATAACCATTGACAAATGTTTTATAAATAATACAAATTCCTCCCTTTCTTCCTTCATATGATTCCTCTCCAAGAGAATCTAACATTTTATCAGAGCCAAAAAATGCATTTTCAATTAACTAGAGTTGTAGCTCTAGAATGATGATGTGGTAGAAAGTAAAGGAAAAAAAACATGGGTGATATATAGGATAGAGAAAAGGTTCACTTGCATGAAAAAATATATATTAAAGGTTGAAATAAGAAGAGAAAAAAAGAGAGGAAAAACACAAAGCCTTCTTCTGTGGATATAAATAACAATAATTGAATTTAAGTTTATTTTCAAGAATAGGGATTGTTAATATCTGGAAAGGATTAAGAGAAATTACAAATTTTGCATCTAGGATGAGAGCCACTTTTGGATGATTGAGATTTACAAGATTTTTCTCATAATAAATGTTGAGAAAATTAACGATTTGAAGATAAGTTTAGTTTAGTTTCATTATTTTGTAATTTTAATTTAGTCTATCTATTCAAACATGTTTGTGATGATATGGTTTTGATTATGGGACGTGTTATATTTATTTATGATGTTTCTGGTTTGATTCTAATTATATGGATGGTCCAGACACGAGCTATTGTTATTGATTTTACTTGTCTTGTGGACAAGTGGTAATTGGATTTATTTATTTATAGTTGTTTGAGTTGGCACCACATGCATAGATTTGTTTTAATTGCAGTTTGATTATATGTGTTGGAGTTATTTAGTTGCCAACAGGCTAAGGTTCTGTTGCTTTGGGAAAAAAAATACATCTATGTGGTTCCTGTAGTTATAGTCAACCACCAAGTTTCTATGCTTGCGACCTTTATGATGGGTTATCTTTGTGATTCTCGTATTGCAATAGATTCGTTTGTTTTATTGTAGTTAGATGGCTCCTATGGTGGGCTATTTGTTCTATCATTAATGTATCAAGCATTTCTTTTGTGGGATTGTTGTAATGGTTTGATCGAGAATTACAATTTTGTCTTGTGTTTCAACCTTGTCGTTTAAGTTGATTGGATTTAGAGGAATCTGATAATTTTGATTGTTGCTTCTAAATATCAAACTCGAGGCATGTAAGAAAACTTATAGCTTAATCATATTTCTGATTTCAATCCTATGTGCTTGGTTGGAAGCGACAATACCTTTAATTTTTAGTAGAATTCATCGTCTTATATTGATGTGCTGCTTGAATTTTTATGTTTGGTGATGTGATATTTTATTATCTTTCGTTTTCCCAATTCAAATTTTATATTGCAAGCATGATTAATTGTAGTCAAGTTGAATTGATTTTCTAATTAGTTTATCAATTCCAATCAAATTGTGGTTTTTGATGACCTCAATTATCATATTAAATTTCTTTAATTTGTGCGATTATTGAATTTTGGTTTATATTAAAATATTAATATTTTTGGTTTAAATTCAAAAAAATATGAGTTTTTGTTTATTGATTGGCTTTGAAATTGCGACGTTTAAATTTGAGTTGTGTTGTTTTAATCCATTTATTTATTTAGTTGCAATAGAAATTCTATACTCAAAGTTAATATCAAATTTTAAGTTTGTATCTTTTTTGTCATCTAGAAGTAGGACAGAAAGTTTGTCATTCAATAAAATAGCAAAAAGATGCAATTTACGGGAATCTTGGTGAGCTATGATTTTAAATTATTACAAGGTTACTATCAAAAGATTTTAACTCTGATCTTTGGGGATTTTTAAATTAAATTTATGATATAAAAGATTTTGTGGAATGTTATAATCTACTTTAAATCCAAAAAGTTGAATGTATTAAATCAAAATAAGTGAGAAATGCTCGATTATTTTGGTAAAGTGATATTGTTAACTCTATGTGGGTTGATTTGAAACATATACTTAAAGAGCAATATTTATCATCTGATGATTAATATGACGATCAACGATATGATAAGTTAAAGTATTTTAAACAAAGTGATTATTGTGTTTTTAAATATTATGTAATGTTTATAGGCCTTGTAGCTTAATATTCTTTGCTTATTATTGTTATTATTATTATTATTAGGTATTTGGCTAGGTAATAGAGATGGATTAATTTATAATTTATCATAAGTTTTGCTAGTGGTTTTATAAAGTTCTTTTAATATTGAGGAATATTACAATCATTTTATCACGACTAACCCTGAAACAAATCAATAGCATTTTTTTTGAAGCCTGCCTTTCACACGCCAAGACAATGATTATGTATAGTTGAATATGATCTTATTAGAGAAATTATAGTTCATGAATATTCTTTTAAGGTGTATTTGATGCAGAAAATTGGCTGCGATTACAGTGTGAATATTTTATTTGAACTTACACATCTAACATAATCAATTCTATTCTTGATTGTGAAGTAGAGATTGAACCTATGTTTGAATGAAACAATACAATTATATTTGTTGTGGTTAATAAACTGATCACGTAATCTGATAGCACAGTTTTTGATTATTTCCATGATGAATGATCACATTTATATTGATTTTATTTTTGGCTCTTTGTCTTGTTATATAAAATCCTAAAAGAACAATATGGAGGGAATTAGGGTTTTTTAAATTTAAATAAACGCCAAAGAAGAATGCTTTTTAAAAGAAACATGAAATTTACAACTTTGTCGATTTGATCAAATCTAAAAATTCAAAATTCATCACAACCACTATTTAGGCAAATTGAGCTAATTTTCTAAAAAGAGATTGCCCTTTAATATAAACATGTCATATTTTTCTGTTTTGTTTGTTTTT